TAGGTGTTCAGAATGGTTTGATCCCTATTCAGCTGAATTCCTGAGACCAGACGAAATCCAGGTCTCCTACTCCTCCGCCATCTTGCTCCGCCCCCCCAGATGAAACTTTCAATTCCTTCCCACTCTTTCAGGCTAATCCTCCCCACCCATCTTCCTGGTCCAATTTTAACAAGGCACTGGGATACCGCTCCTCCCACCCTGATCCAGGCCACCGCCGTCTCCCACCTGAGCCCTGGCAGATGCTCCCGACGGGCCTCTCGGCTTCCACCAGCTTCTCTGACACACTGTCCCCTAAGCAACAGCCACATGCTTATACATATGTCACATTGTGGTACGCCCCTGCTCAAAGCGTGCCCCTCACACTGCACTCAGAATAAAAGCTCCAGTCCCTACGATGTCATAAGAGGCTCTATATTATCCGGGCCCCTTTCCTTCACTCACTCTTCTGTCCACACTAGCACAAGCCACATGTACTGCTGCCCTAAGATCTTTCTTTCTGCCTGGACCACTCTTCCCCTAAACATCTGCAGGAACGGCTCTTCCTTCCAGGATTGCCCAGCCTTCAAGTGTTCCGTGAGGCCTGCCTTAACCCCCTAATTAATGCCACAGTGGCCTCCTGTCCTCCCCCAGTACTACCCATCTCTTCTTTGCCTTTCCTAGTTGTTCTTTTTTCCATAGCACTTTTCACATTTTAATTTATTATAGACTGTATTTCTTATGTTTGGTATTTACTCTCTATTTCTTCTGCTAGAATTCAAACTCCCTTTTTTTTATTTGCTCACTGATGTGTCCTAAGAGCCTAGAACAATGCACATAATAGGTGTTTAATACATATTTAGCTATCTGCATCATAGGGTTGTTATAAAGATTAAATGAGTTGATGCATGAAATGCTCTACAAGCCTGGCATAGAGCAAAACATTCAATGAATAGTAGCTGTTAGATCTCTAGAGAACCTTGTGAATGTTTCTGGTGGATCAATTCCTAAAAGTAGAATTGCTTGGCTTAAGGGAATGTGCATTGTCAATATTGAGGCAATACTAATTTACACTCCTATGAACAGCATTTGAAAGAACCTATTGTCCCTCACAATTGCTGACCCTGGATATGATCAAATTTTTATAATTTTGCCAATCTAATGGACAGATATGGCATCTCATTGTGGTTTTAATCTGCGTTTCCTTGAATGCTAATGTGGCTGAGCATCTTTTAGAGGAAAAACTGATTTCCCTCCAAGGCTGGCTTCTGACCCACCAGCAAGAAGAAAGCATCCCCACCAGCTTCTCCCTTCTGATAGTTTTTCACTGGCCATTATATCTTGAGTGCTTCCCTATATATTTCAGTTTATGGGAACCACTTTTTAGGACCCCCTTGCAACTCCTCCTTTGTTCACACATGATTTGTCAATGTTAATAGAATAGTTTTTTTATGCATAATCTAAAATTAGTAATTTTTCAGGATCCTCTCCTGATTTTCACATGGAAGACTTTAAGTGATTCAGGCAGAAAGATAATGTCATATGACTTTTATGAAGGCTTTTACTAGAGGATAATATAAAGGATTTTTCAGAGGAGACTATAAAATTCTGATGAGATCTTACCATCACCTTCTCATATTGATGCTAAAAGGTTTATCCAGAAATTTTTCAGCTGGAACTTGAGGATGGGTCAGTGGATCATATGCAGCAGGTTAATATCATAGACTGATGAGGAAGATCATCCTACAGCACACGCTTTGCCCCTTTAAATGAATGCAGTTTTCTATTTGAAGCTGTCTATCAAATGTAGTTTCCTAACAAATATCATACTCTCAAGGTTGCCATCAACAGCCCTTGGAACTATTAACATAAACTTTTCAGGATTATAGGAAACCTCTTAGCCTTTCTTGTAAAAAACCTTAAAAATTCAACTTCATAATAACAGATACACAATCACTATAGATTTCACTTATATTTCTTGGTAATTAGAATGTCAAGTGTTTGCTAATCTTCTCTCATATTTGCCTTTGTATCAATAGCTTAAATAGCTACCCAGAAAAATGTGTGGCCGCTGGTTTAAATTTTTATCAAGGCCCATACATAGCAATTTGGGCTTACAATAATTTATTTTCATAGTAACTTCCTAATATTCCATTTTATGTGTATGTTTTCATTTATTTAACCATTACTAGACTTTCAGTGCTTTCCAATTTTCTCCCTTTATGGGTGAAGATCATTATACATTAGTCTTTGATTGCATTGCTGAATAAATCTTTACAAACTATTGTTAGAGATAAACTTACTGGGTCAGGGCAAACTACTTTCCAAAGAAGGAACTCTGCTTTCTACTCCCCCCATGAGTACACAATACCTGTCTTACCACCTATGTTCTAGCCTGGAAATTTTTTATAATTTTTATGTTTTTAAATTTAATTGGGGACATAGTTTCTCATGTGGTGTTTCATGAGATAATGAAGACTTTATATATTATAGTAGACGTCATTCTGGGGTATCCAGCCAACCACTCCCTTTTGTGAGAATTGATTCCCTATACCCAGGGCAAGCCCAGTATTTTAGGGGTGTGAGCTCATCTACCTGGATATAGATGTTTGGACCAGGGTAGATCATGTGAACTAAGCTGGGCTATCAGATTTCCTTCCTTAGAAACTTAGAACCCAGAGACAGTAGTCCAGGCTGGTCATTGAATGGAAAACATGTAAGCCTAAATGCTCTATGTTAATCATGTACAGAGAAAGAAAGCTGCTATGTAGAAAGAGAAAAAGGCAGAAAGCTGTCCTGCAGAGAAAGAAAAATGAAAGCAGTCTGAGAAAAACAAAGCTGAGATACCAGAAACATTTGGAAAATGAGTGCCTTGATTCTTCCTAGCTTTGCAATTCCTGATTCTTGCCCCTGGTAGAACCCCGCTATACTATACTATCTTCCCTTGGATTGTGTAAGATACTCCCATATCCTTATAATGTATTGCCCTCTTTTGCTTAAGTAGCTCAACTAGTTTGGCTGTTAAGTGAAACAAAAGAATCTTACTGCATTGAAACAGACCCCCAGAGGGCACCTGGGTGGCTCAGTCGGTTAAGCCTCTGCCTTCAGCTCAGGTCATGATCTCAGAGTCCTGGGATCAAGTCCTGCTTTGGGCTCCCTGCTCAGCAGAGAGCATGCTTCCCTCTCTCCCTCTACCCCTCCCTCTGCTTGTGCTCTCTCTCAAATAAATAAATCTTGAAAGAAAGAAAGAAAGAAGAAAGAAGAAAGGAAGAAAGAAGAAAGAAAGAAAGAAAGAAAAAGAAAGAAAGAAAGAAAGAAAAAAACAAAGAAGAATCCCACATAACCTGAAATATTAGCCTATAGTCTCACAGCTCTTAATTTTAAAATCAGCAGTGCAATTTTAGGAGCACAAGGTAACTGTTCTATATCCTGTCACATAAAAGTTTACTACTTATCACCAAAAATATTCTTAAATATTTTGAAGGTGTTACTAAATATGTTAGTAAACAGCCTATATAAATAATGATGGTGTGTTAAAGAAATATTGTTGTCTATGATATGAGGGTTTTATTGATTGATTCCCCAGGATTATTTTATTGTCAGTATTTCCATTTTTGTGCATTTAATTTAAATGATGGAACAATTATCCCTGTGGCTTCAGGTTAGCTCTGCTCTACTATCACAGACTAGAATTTTGGATTTGTTAACATACTGTGTTTTCATTTGTTTGTTTGTTTAATACTACAGCTCCTGCTGTCATCTGCTTAAGGAAAGAGAGGGGCCTAATATTTCATGAATGGAAAATGCACAAATAATATACACTTTCAGTATTTTTTATTTTTATTTTTATTAATGATAAACAAATCACAAAGGAACATTTGCTACTAGTATATCAGTTTTATCCCTTAATATGATTTATTTCCTATTCTTCCAGGGAGAGAAAAGTAAAGATGCACCTTCGGGGGATCCTGCCAGCCTGAAGTTCCCAGAGAGGAATGTTCCAAGGGATTCTTACTGCCACCTTTCCAACAGTCCTAGAGCAATAGAGCACGCCTATCAGTATGGAGGGACGGCCAACAGCCGCCAAGAGTTTGAACACTTAAAAGGAGATTTTGGTGAAAAGTAAAGTAACACAACTATCCTTCCAGAAACTTTAGGCCATGGCTGGACTTCATTTGCCACATGCCATCTTTTTCCTGTGATCTTTCCTTTCGGTGCCACTTAATCCTATTATTTTATCACCAAAGTAAATGCTAAATAGTATGCAATTCTTACTTTCCAATATAGTACATTCTCTGCGACTTTCTTCCCAAAAGTAAGATGCATCAAACAGCAGTCTCCTAGGAGTTTGCTGTATTTTTATCAAAAAGGAAAGGCAATCAAAAAAAGGAACATGGGGCACATTTCAAATGAGTCATCGTCTAACCTTGATATTACCTTCCTTCCCCCCATATAAATTGCTTTCAGATTGAAAATGGGGGTGCCTCTGAACCGCTGGAAGGTTAAAAAGGACACTGAAGACACAAAAACCGCTTGTATCTCGGCTAGCCCTCAAGCTATCCGTAAAACCCAGCACCTCTCCCAGTATTCCACAAATCTCCAGGTTACTTAGCACTTTGAAGATTTCTTTTCCTAGTGTTAGCACCCAAATATTCTTATATAGGTCTTAATATCTCTTTCAAACATCCGTAGAGTCAGTAAGTGACCTCTAATGCTTTCTAATTTGCTGTTTGCCAAAAGGCAGTATCAGTATTTTGTATTCACTGGGAAGAATTTAGAGTTAAATCGAAGTAGAAATTAGCCTAATAAATGTATCTTATCTATGTGGCCTGGAACTAAATGCCTAGAAGGTGTTGTTTAATTCCTACACATTCTGATGGCTATTTTTGGCCTGTGATATCTACTGATTAATTTTTGCTGGGAAAGACAAATTTGAACCTGTATTTTAGATAGCACACAAATCATATTGTTTCTATGCAAACTTCTATATGCACATTAATTACAGACTAGTATTTTGTCCACATGAACAAACTCAGTGCAACCATATTTTCAAAGCAAGACACATTATGATACTTAAGTGAAACAATGCTTCCTTAAATGTGGAATGTAGCCCTGCTCTATAAAGTAGGGAAAGATTTACATTTTTGAGTTAGTCATGCTTTCCCAATACTCATGAATAATACTAAGGTATAATGAGAAGTAATGCTGCTTGGGATTCGATAGAATGGCTACTCATTCTTCCTTACACTATGTTGCTGTGGGAAACTAGAGATTGCCCTCAGTCTCATTTTACAGATAGTAAGCTTTTTCTTTTCCTTTACCAGATCTCAGTTCTCCATTCGTCTGAAAACGCGTTCCTCCCATGGGATGATTTTCTATGTCTCAGATCAAGAAGAGAATGACTTCATGACTCTATTCTTAGCCCACGGCCGCTTGGTTTTCATGTTTAATGTTGGCCACAAGAAACTGAAGATTAGAAGCCAAGAGAAATACAATGATGGATTGTGGCATGATGTGAGTTGAAGGCAGAGAAGAGTATTGCCAGCAAATAGTCACAATTGTCAAATGGACTGACATTAATGCCCACTATTGGTCTCTCTAGAAACACACATTTTAAAATTCTGTTGCCATATGCTCAGAGTTCAATGTTGAGAAAATTTTTTAATTCCTTATAAAAATCTTGAAGCATATTATTTAAAAAGAGATACAGGCTGCATGTAATTTTTTTTAGTGTAATTATTTTCACCAAAGGACCGATGGCAAACATAACCTGAAGTTTAATTTCTAACAATTTTTCACTTGTTTTCCCACCGCCTGTGAGTTTCTACATTTCAACAGCAATTGCTGGGTGTCTTTTATAGGCTAAGCCATGGAAGATACAAAGTGAAGAAAAAATCTGTTAGGAAGCTAGGATACCACAGGGAGAATATCTAAATATTGAAGCAAATCTGTGTTACATAATGGAAAGAGTAAGAAACATAAGATGCATTAATCACCATAAATTTAGGAGAGGGAGAAACCAGGTGGGCTGGCCAGCTGCCAAGAACTTCATTGAGAACTCTACTAAATACATGTAAGCTGTATTCAGAAATTAAGCCTGTAGCTTTTAATCAAGCTTTAAAGGAAAAAACAATCTCTTGACCTTCAGAGAAAGGATCAGTTTTTTTTAAAGAACTTCTGCAGATTTTCCACAGTACTGCAATAGCAAAGTTTGGAGAAGAGGCACCCGAGCCTCCCCCCGAATCTTGGGATGCACTTGACATGGGCTGTTGTCCTTCTCTCCATCCAGGTGATATTTATTCGGGAGAAGAGCAGTGGCCGACTGATCACTGATGGCCTTCGAGTCCTAGAAGAGAGTCTTCCTCCTAGTGGAGCTGCCTGGAACATCAAGGGTCCTATTTATTTGGGAGGTGTGGCTCCTGGAAGGGCCGTGAAAAATGTCCAGGTAAGCCAGGCATGACCAGGTCGAGCCACTGGCTTTTAGAGCCTTAAGACTATTTAATCCAGGACCTCGCTTCACCATCAGCAAACTGGCAAGAATTGAACTGTAGTTTCGCTGGATATAGGCTATCAAAGTGAATATTGCCCCAGGGGATGTCTGTCTGCCCTCTGGCATTACAGAGTCAGATTCTAAGGTAGAGGTGAGATGAAACAGTTTCAGAGGTCTAAACTGTCATGAGAAGTCATGTCTCAAGGAGATGCTTATTTGTTCAGCAAGTGCACATGATTTTAGTGTAAAAAATACAAAAAAAATAGAAGAAAGAATGTCATTCCATTATATATCATTGAGTGACAAAAAACTTTGGGGCCATTCTGTAGACTACGATTTCATTTTTGTTTCCTACATACACACACACACACACACACACACGATTTGTAAATGTGCAAGGAAGTGTGGTTACCCCTGGGGGGAGGGGGAGAAGCGGGGGTTACAGTAAAAAGCATGTTATTTCTGTACTTTAAAAGTTAATAATATTGCACCTTTACAAAAATATTTAGCAATAAAGGGAATGCATCAAAGGACTAAATCTTTCTTCACATAAATATAGATTTGACTTCAGCATGAAAGAACTAATGCATTTCTAAGATTCGCTAATATATGTGGATAAAGCAAAAAAGGGGGGAGCGCATGTTATAATGAGATTTTAGGCAAGTAGCCCCAATTTCATGACAACTCCTTTAAAAGAAAGGTTTCCAAAGCAGTGTGCAATCAGTTGTCCGAAGAGGCCCAAGTTTCACATCCTGAGGTATGATAAATGTTCAACCACAAGATCAGTTAATGGAGCCAGAAATGCAAGCTTTCTGCTGTTTATTTAACCATGGTAGATTTAATGGTTAAGAACTTTGCTAGCCCTCATCAGCATTAGGTGATCTGGGGGCCTGCTGTCATTCTTGAAGGAAAACAAACAAGGATAGTTCTAGTATTTAATTTCAAAACCATAGCTGCAACTTATTTGTCATAGTATATGTAAAAATGTTCATAGCTAATGACTGCAGGCTGACATTATCAAATACAAAATCCCAGCTTCAAAGAACTCATTAAAGAAGCAACTACCTGGAAAACGACTGACCCTTCAGGCAGCTAGATAAATAAGACAGGGGACTGCATCGTTTCTCTTAGGACTCGAATCCCTTCATTTTGTTTCCCTTTGGTGCGCACCCATGCATGTTGAGAAAATGGATTTTAAGAAATGTCTTCTCCCCTCAGATCAACTCGGTCTACAGTTTCAGTGGCTGTCTCGGCAATCTTCAGCTCAACGGGGCGTCCATCACCTCTGCTTCTCAGACATTCAGCGTGACCCCTTGTTTTGAAGGTCCGATGGAAACGGGGACCTACTTTTCAACAGAAGGAGGATACGTGGTTCTAGGTAACAGTGACTTCTGCACAAAACATGAATCATGAAATACTTCTTTCCTAGGGGTGGCTGACAGGGAAATTGGGCTGAGAGTTAAAACATCAGAATGCCAAACTCACTCAGCCCTAGAAAATGGCTTCTTCCCAGAGGATCCCCTTTGTCCCCTCCTGCCACACCCGACCAGGCAGGCGTGCCCGTCCCTGTTTGCTTTCCCTGACCAGAGCTTCTCCACAGCTGCCACGCCTCTGGTGTAGATGTAGCCCATCTTGGCCGTTTTAGGATTTCCGGTGCTGCTCTGTGGTCTAATCTGTGTCAGCTCTGAGCCACCCTGCTCTCATCTTTCTCTGCTCCCTCTTAGCGAGATCTGTTGTCCCTCCCAAAGCAAGTTCCACTCCCTCCCTTTGCTCTGCTGCCCCATCCTTCAGAAATTGTATTTCTGGACTTGTATTCTCCTTAACTATTACTCTCTCATTCATTCAACCAAGTTTTTATTGTATGCGTCTGGCGTGTCAGTCCCTATGCCAAGTAATGAAACATAATAGTTCTAAAAATAAATACATAAAGTCCTAACAGACTATACACAATCACCACCCAAGCCATTCCAACAAACAGTCTATAGAGCAAACATTAGGTATGAGGAAGGCACCGGGATTGGAACCCGCAACATCCCCTGAGTAAAGACATGACAATGCAGCCAAGTGTAGCTTCCCAAACCGCCCCCATGTCCAATAGAATACTGGAGGTCGTCTTTCCTCTCTTTGTCTAGCTCATGATTTTACTTTCCTTTCTCCTTCTTTATCCACAGTAAAGCACCTACGCTCATATTTCTCAGCCTCTCGTTGGATTTCAGTGATAAGAACTCAAAGTCTTGGACAGCTTGAAATGCATAGCAACCTGCACAATTTATGTTCTCCATAAACATTAACTAATAGCAGGAAAAATTAAAAAGTGACTGATAAGGAGACATGTCAAGTGAATATTATTAGGATGCCCAGGTTTGCAACACGGCTCCTAGAGTGAGCACGGCCCGTCTCAGTCAGGATTCATTTTCTGGCATCATGGCAAGGGCAGCTCCTGCCGCTTCTGCTGCCCTCACTTTATCTTTCCTCTGAAATGCTCTGCAGCACTGGCACCAGTGATCTTTATTAAGACTTATTTTAAGATACAGATCGGATCAAGTCACCTCCCTTGCTCAGTGACGGCAAAATAAAGTCTACCTCCCGTACTTGAGTAGGCGCGCCCTTCCCCTGTGGCCTTCCTCACTCGTCGGGCCTCGCTTTACCCTGGTCCAGCCGCACTGGCCTCCACAGTGCTCGCCCAATGTCCCAGCCTCCACACTCGTGTTCAGACTTCTTCCTCTGCCCAGGTTGCTCTTTTCTCCTCCTCGCTTGTGAAACAGTAAACGGTCCTTCTGGTTGTAATCGGTTTCTCCTCCCCTGAGAAGACACGCCATGGCACCTTCTCGGCATGCTGCCCCCACCCCACGGCCCACCGCCGGAGTGGCGTGCTGGTTATCTCAGACCCTCACGGAGCTTTCCACAGTGTGTCTGACGTGGGAAATGCCGCTTGTGGCTTGTCTATTAAAAAAGGTGTCAGACTTTCAAAAAACGGCTATAAAGATGTATAATCACGAAATCACACCACGGTTACAAAATTTAGGCTGCTGCTCTTAAGAGCTAATATTTCTCTCCACAGATGAGTCTTTCAATATTGGACTGAAGTTTGAGATTGCATTTGAAGTCCGTCCCAGAAGCAGTTCTGGAACCCTTGTTCATGGCCACAGTGTCAACGGAGAGTACCTAAATGTTCACATGAAGAAGGGGCAGGTAGTGGGTTAAAAACCATTTAACAGTCTGTCTTCTCTGCCCTTGAATGCTAGGTTGGACGCATTTTTATTTCACAGCGTTATTCCATCAGTCTTTCCTAACTGGGGGGGAAACAATAATGGGGAAGCTACACATGAAATTTAAATGCAGGCAGTACTTAGATTCAGATTCCTATACTGAGAATTGATTTGATTAGAGCAAAGAGCCATGAAAATGTGGTAAAGCTAAAAAAAAAATCAACAATAACAATGGAATTAAAAGGTTTTAATGAAAGAATTGGGAGAAAACATTTTTAAATGAATGTGAGCAGCAGACACATCCAGCTGTCAAAACGAACAAACACTAAAGCATCTATCTTTCTATCTATAGTATATTTGCCTACCAGATGTGTATATATACATATATGCATATACACATATATTATTTTCAATTGCTAGAAATCAAAAAATTGTTATAATTAAGCACCACTTTCATCCTGAAAAAGTATGACTAAAGAATATTCATGGAAGTGTTCGACTAAATATTATGGAGAAAGCAGCATATTTTCATCACTGCCCCTAACTTAGTAGAACTGATTTTTATTTGAGTTCTGGTACTATTAAACCATAGAATGATAAAATCCTCATATCGTGCTCACTGTGTGTCAAGTACTATTCTAAATACAGACGAACTCCGTTAGCCCTCCGGCGGCTCCGGGAGGTAGGTTTGGTGAGTGAGAAAACAGGCAGGGTGAGCTGATGGGGACACTGGGATACGAGCCCAGGCAGTCTGGCTCCACAGTCCGCGCCCCCCACCAATACCTTAACCTGCTTTGTAGACCACATTCAATCCGTAAAAATTAAAGGCATTCATTTTATTCTCTTGTTGTTCCTCTCCCCCAGCTTCTCTCCTGTTCCTAGTCTGTCCTCTCACCAGAACAGTTTACTGTCTATAGCCTACCGAAGAGTGACCCCTTGCGTTCACATTGCAGAGCTAATCGTTTGCAGATAAAGCATTGCTTCTCTGCGGTGAATTTAAGAAATCTAGTTTTATCTATATGAGGAAAAATGAAACTATATAACGTATGCTGTCTTTTTCAGGTCCTAGTGAAAGTCAACAATGGCATCAGAGACTTTTCCACCTCAGTAACACCCAAGCAGAGTCTCTGTGATGGCAAATGGCACAGAATTACAGGTGAGAAAAACAAGTGTCTTGGGCTTCTTTTATAAAGTGAGCCTACATCCCCACGTGTGGATGATGGCTTGGAAGAACTCAGACTCTAACTTACATGATAAGATAGGGATGGGTGACAGTCTAAAAGTGGCCAAGAAAAGAGAATCAAATACTACTGGATATATCGAATCCATATGTGATTTGAAAATTTGAATACTGCCAAAATAGTCTTTGGGAGTTTTTTAAAATAATGCATAACTTATGAAGAAGAAAACAGTATCCTAAATATTCTCCCTTTCAAAGGAAAGTGTTACAGGGATTGCTTGCTTAGACACTGACATTTTCAATGATATAGAAGAAAGTCTGAGGTTTATTCTGGAATAAATAAAAGCCATCACTGTTATAAATTAGTCTCTTTCATGTGAAAATTAATCACAAAGAGTGCCATTTATGACCAGTCTTTTCCTGGTATTTCAGTTATTAGAGATTCCAATGTGGTTCAGTTGGATGTGGACTCTGAAGTGAACCATGTGGTTGGACCCCTGAATCCAAAACCAGTTGATCACAGGGAGCCTGTATTCGTTGGAGGTGTTCCAGGTAAGAGTTCTTTAAAAGGGACATGTTTCCAAATCCAAAAAACAATAAGTTCTTACAATTGTTATTATAGTATTAAGAATGGAGCCATGTGTTTTCATAATTCACCTAATAACTCAAAGGATTTTATACACAACGTCCTTTCATAGGAAAAAGTATACTGGTGATTATGACTCCTTACCCAAGGATCAAAACAAAGTAACACATAAGCACTACACTTCATCCTCCTGCCCGGTGGATACTACCCTTCCTTTGCCATATATGCTTATTTTTTTCTCTCTTCCCTTTACATATCCTCACGTCCACGCAGTGAAACACACACTCGATTTTCTTCTCTAACACAAAGAAAACATTTACTAATACTGCTCTAGGATCTGGGAATCTTGGAGGACTAAAAGTTTGCTGATAAATACTCCCCTTCCTTACTAAGAAAGAAGGGAATCCACAGTTCTCCCTGTCCAAGATTAGTCTGAATTGTGAAAACAGCTGCAGACCATAAGTTGTTTTGTTCCGAGGTAGTGACAGTCCCCAAGAGAGGTTCCCAGATGCCATCCTGCAAACATCATCAGTAACATTGCTGCTCTCATCTCCCAAGAATTGTATATAATCCAGAGTGGTGACAGAAGGACTCTTATGGACCCCCCACAATTGTTTTAACCCTCTGGAGCAGGAACCATGACCTGTGTTGAAAGTGTGTGTTGCACGCATTTCACTAACTTGGAAAAACTGAATGTTAAAGCCAGAGAGAGATAAGAAGGAGAAAACCAAGCTTTTACATCTGGAATTTGGTGGTGATTTTAAGGAAAAACTTAGCATGGTTTTTCCTTGTGTCCTAACTAGATTATTTGAGACTGACCCATGTGAAGGCAAGTAATAATTCAATTAAGAGAGTAAGAAAAAAGAGAGAGAGAGAAAGCACAGATCAAATTAAGCACCTGACCTTGGGTACTCACAAAATAGTAGCAACTAAGCATTCCTCTGTTTGTAATGTGAATTTTTCAAATACTAGTATTGACAATAACAGTAACTCCCTGATGAAATATTTGAGACGTTCCTTTTCTTTACTTCCGCTATCCACGCCCATCTCCGTCCCCCAGTCCTCTCCTCCTGCTCCTGGCCTCGATTCTGAAAGGGATTCTAGCGAAGGCCACCATGGAACATCCTGTGGGCAGTGTGGAAGATGCGTCACCTCAGTTCTTATATTTCTGTACATTGCTTTCTTCCTGGAAACCACAACATGATTTAAAATATTTCACAGGTTCCCAAGAACTTACAGGATCAAATTCAGCAAGGTCCTTGATCCTCTGGCCCCTCCTTCCCCCTGCCTCTGGGGTCTCCCCACGCTTTCTGGGACTTGCAGTTCTCTCAGTGTTCAACGATGCCCACCTTGCTCCAGGCCTTTAAATCACACACGGTGCCTCAATTTCTGGAAAAATGTTCTTGCTTTCCTCCCCGGTACCTTTTTGAGGAACAGCTTCTCCCACTCTTCTCCCAGTTTAATTCCTTATTGACCTTTAGGACTCAGCCCAGACAGATCTCTACTGACACACACATGCCCCTCTTTCCCTAGAATGTGCTATGTTTGCATAGCCCTTTTGTGACACTTACCAGAGGATTTCATGGAAGTTAAATAGTCCACTCCTTGCTGCCTGGTAACATGACTTCTTTCAACAGAAAATAAACATTTATGGTCTGTTAAGTACTGTGCTAGGCTCCGAGAGAGGGACAAAACAAGCACGGCCCTCCTTCATGGAACTTACAGCATTTGTTCTTTACTTTGCACCAGAGCACTTACTCTATCATTCAAACAAATATTTGTCTTTTTGATTTTTGTTTGTTTTCAGAGTCTGGTCCCAGCATTACACACTGCCATCACCTCCCACTACAAGAGTTGTTAAGTGCCACAGACTGGGTGGGCAAGGTGTACCTGAAGCCGAGTTCAGCCTGCCTGAGACATATAACGAACAGCAAATTTTAGCTTCTGAGCCAGCGCACAGGGACTAGTGGGCCAGGGGGAGCTTAACCACTGCACCATTACAGCTTTTAATTCCACCTAGGAGCCATGCCAGTGAGCCTAGAACAAAAGCAATTATAATTTAAGATGAATGTCATTAATTACATCATTTTGAGCTATTCAACATTAACTCCACTAAAATCACATCAGAAACTGAGGCATGAAAAAGAGTAACTGAAGGAAATTAGGTATAAATAAATTTATAATAGGCACTGAATTCCCTTGAAATCTCAGCCAGTTCTCTTATATCACACAGAACCCTGATACTATTTCTATCAATAAAAAGTTAATGCATTTAATGAACTATGTTTCCCAAAAGTCAGTTTTACTATATAATTTAAAAATCAAAGTTAGAAATAAAAAAAATTTTTAAGGTAATGTAGTTCATACATACACACAGATCTGATCATTCCTCTACGGAAAAGCTTGCATTATTCTGTATATAGTCAAGCTTTTGACCTGAGGAACGTTTGCTCTTAAAATCATGTGTTGATTTTATTAATCAGTTACTTAGGGTTCTGGGGCCACTTTACTGCCACTACCTACAATAAATTGTGTGGTGAATTATGAAGACCATAATTTCTATATGAATTATTTCCTCTAGATGATGTTCCCCGTAAACCACAGGGTGGTGAGCTTGAACAGAATCAAAATCCATGTTCTAAAACTAGTTTCCAAAATGGGCAGGAGAAATAGATATTTCTGCCCCTTATAATCGTTCCTTTTCACTTATTTTTATTCTGATGATGAAGTACACTGAGCAGCCTTGAAGAATATATATAGTCATACTGATCTAGAGACAAAGGGAAGTGATCTCTCAGCCCCTTCCAAATCTAAAACTTCATAATTATCATTCTAAATATGAAATGTGATTTCTATGATTTATTTTCATTACAAAGCTTCCACATAGTCTTAATCTACACTGCTTAGAAAACTTATTACAGCTGCTTGATGATATTTAATTTGCTGTCCTGTTTTATGTTCCTCCCTGAGTTAGTGATTTCTAAGTGTTTTCCATCTTTTATCTGCTACTGCTCACATAGCTGTTTGTACATAATAATAAGCTTTGACTAAATGGATTTTAATTCCAGGATATTTCTAAGCTCTCTAAATTGCTTTAAATTATATTGCTTCTATCATCCAACACATTTAATTGTATCTGTACAATTAATAAGCATAACGCTTCTTCTAGATCTCTAATTAAGACAAGGGGAGAAAGTTCCCCTGGCATATGACAGTGCACCCATGCCCATACAAAGACTAGACTAGTTATCATTATCCTATTTATAGTTCTTAAACCCTGAGCTCAGAAAAATTAAAATTCAGCTTATGTGAATTCATTATTTTCTCATTATATTTTATGAGCTTGGCAAAAATGTGGAGGCTTAAGGGTGAAGGGTAATGATACAAATTAAACAGAAACATTAACCAAGTCTAAAAATAGTGTAGAAGCTAAAATTCCTTCCCCTTTTCTCAGTAAATCACACAAAATAAGTGAGACCCAGACAACATTAACTCTAAAAAGCATAAGCATAGGTAGATCCTGAAAATTCACTATTGAATTTTTATATGTAAGTGGGAAATTTCAGCCCTGGAAGATAGCTGAAATACACTCAGAACTTTGATCACGGAAAACATGGCAAAACTTTAAAATTACCACATGTTCACATTACTTCAAAGGCAGATAAAGTTCCTGAGAAAATGAGTAAATTATCACGATATTCCATTTTTGACATGTAAATCATCTTGATGATGTGAGCAGTTGTTACGTGTATTTGTGCCAGAGTGACATTTGGGCTTGGAAGGGCTCACCTGCAATCTTTGTTTTCATTTCTCTCTTTTTCCAGAGTCTCTACTGACACCACGCTTGGCCCCCGGCAGACCCTTCACAGGCTGCATCCGTCACTTTGTGATTGACGGGCGCCCTGTGAGCTTCAGCAAAGCAGCCCTGGTCAGCGGCGCCGTGAGCATCAACTCTTGTCCCGCAGCCTGACACCCAGAGCAAAGCTGCCCCCGTACAAAGTTCTTTAGAGCACTGAAAGAAACGCAAAGCCAGCCAGGAGGAACAGCCACTTTTTCTCCCAGTGGGAGCCTTCATCTAGTTGAGCGGGACTTAAATGAATCGTCAGGGAATGGATGTTTATTATTTCTCATTTGGATTCTTACCTTGGATCCAAAATGTCTGCAGTGAACAACAATCAAAGGAGCGTCACACTTACTTGCATTGTATTATTTCCTGCTGGTGAAATTACTGTTCCTGTTTCTAAGGAAATAGAAGGGATTCTAAATAAACACTGGCGCACATTTTTAAGTATGGCTAGATTCTCAGGTTCATCTTTCTTTGAGGGACGATACTTTGAATTACACCAAAATAATCTGACATATACTTTAGTTTATCCTGAAAACATTTACTAATTTACATAAAATCTGGAATTAGATGGCAGGCTTGCTTTTAGTACTTTTGTTTGATCTATCAGTATAACAAGAATATTTTAGGTTTATAGCAGTTATAAGGTTTAATAAAGTAAATTTCTAACAAATTATTAGAAAAATGGAAGCATAATTTAATTTTTTCTAGAAAAGAAAAAAGGAGTTAAACCACTTTTTTTATTTCTTTAAAAGAAAAATAAAACAGCATGAGGGGGAAGCTCCTGTAAGATATTACTGTGTGTTCTATAGGAATCATAAAGGACATTACAGCAAAGAAAGTAGGACATAATCATAAAATTCTATTTAAAAGTATAAAAGTCCTTTTATTAAAAGATTTTTCCCCACATACAACTAGTATTTTCTAATTTTATGATTTTCTTAGGTGTCTATATTCATAGTCTAGAAAAAATATGCTTGAGTAGCTGGTGTGATATTAAAATACAGAAACGGAAATAAAAGAATTATACATGAAAAGATAATCAACATTGAAGACAGAATGAGAGAAAATAGGCCCTCACAGCAATAGGATTAAAGGTATGTAAAAGGAATAACTTTTAGGGGCAAGGGAAGGGGGCATAAAATATTTTGAGGAATTACTAAGGGAATAAAATAATCTCTGACCTTGGGGAAAATACGTATGTAAATTGTTATCTAAGATAGATATACATATATATCTACATATATTCCCCTGCTACCCTCTAGTCTCAGGTACATTAATAATAAAGTTGAAGATATCAATGAAAATAGCTAATATCAATTCATAGAGGAGTTACTGCATGCCAAACTCCATGATAAGCTAAAGTTGATTTGATCATTACATTAATCCTATGAGGTGGCATTCGCAGATGAGAAACCTGAGACTTAGAAAAGTTAGGGATATATTGTCGGCTGTCATTCAGCTAGGCCGAAGAGCCAGGTTTCAAAACGAGAGGCAGCATGATTATCCCCTTGCTTCCTGCCTCCAGAGAACTGTCTGCCAGCTATCAGCTATTCTCTAAAGCTGGAGTCACAAACCCAAATGCCTATAGAGCCAGTGAGCTACCTAATAAAGGAGTAAAGCTGGTAGGGTCTGACTGACAAAATCAAGAGGGCCCTTGCCAGGCTTATCTAGAAAGCCAGCAGGTGCTCAACTCAGCTAACTCTCACCATGAAAGAACTCAAGTCTTAAAGGACCAGAATTTCCAACAGAAGTTGGAAATGTGAAATTTGGGGGGTTCGGAATGGCCTGAGTTTCAGTTGGTAACTAATTAAATTAAAGCAATAGCAACCACAATACCAGGCTGACCAAACAAAACCTTCTAAGAGCCATATGTGACATCTAAACTAAAAACTCTGAATCCAAGAGTCTAGAGCCTTATCAAGTACAGATTGAAACAGTGCTCAAAACACACTGCACCCTCATAATATTCCATCAGACCCAAACAGGAAGAAGTGGTGTTGAAACACCCTACCATTTTCTTTTCCAAAAGATTTTTCAGAAGCATCCTAGAGGGCCACCTAGTTCCTCATTCTCAGCAATAGCACAAAATAAACAAAACCAGCCCAGCTGCAGACCCTGCCTGGACCTACGCAGTAGTTCTGGCAGGCATGCTCATGGACACACATATATAGACTGAAAACACAAAAATTCTTCTACCTTCTCCACAATTTACAAAGCCACTTTGCAGAGTTAGTATTTCACATTCTTATACTTGACAAATGAGAATCAACTGAAGCCACTGACCCATATACCTCCTAACCACCACAAGATGACCTGAAACTTTGAATTTGCCATTCTTAAGAGCCTGATTCAGCTCTTAGATGGGACTCCATCTTCTTCCAGCTTCTGTCTAGGGAGAAAAAAAAAGTCATATTTTTTTTCTTTTAGTTAAACATAGTATATCAGGATTTCATATAGAGAAATATGGGTTGGTGCTCATAGCATTTTGACCAATTTTTGTTTTGTTCCCTGCCAGTTCAGAGCCCTTTCAAAATGAAGAGGCCTCCCATAGCCCCAGTTTGAGGGAGGAGCCCTACTTAGGCCTCTGTCCTATCTCCTCCTGTCATGACTACAGCTGATTGGACAAGAGGACTCTACTACAGCTTCCCAGTGAAGCAATATCCCATTATCTGGTGGTGTGAAAAGATGAATTCAAACAATCAGATATTTTCTTTTAAAATTCTGAATTGGAAAACATGAAAAGAATCAAGCACTTAGCAGTAGAAGCTGAAGCCAAAATAAAACTATCTGAAAGTATGGTTTTAAGTGTTTACCACACACATTTATAAACACACTTTTAAAAAAAGGAAAGAAAAAGAACTTAGTATTTCCCATTCTGTAGATGTAGTATAATACATCTACCTGCCTGTTGTCTAACCATCTCAATTCTCAGCCTGGAGTTTGTAGGGAGGGAATGTATTTCAGAAGATACTCAGATCTATTTGTTCTCTGGGCCCCCACATCCTTGTATGCAACATGGTAGTATAGGGTGTCAAGTAGAGTCTTTACTATTTCCTTAAATCTGTGACTACAGCCCATAACTGGGACCATAAAACAGTAAATACATCACATCTGAAGTGTGGAGTCAATCCCTTCTCCTTTAGGACTGACTCAGAGAAATCATTTTAGCATAACCAGCAACATAACACAAAAATCCCCCGATATGCCCCCACACACACACACAGTCTATATAAAAAGGCTAGAAGGGCAACAAAATGAGGCACCATCCAGAATGTAAACTCCACGAAATTGTGTATGTTATTCACTGATGTGTTGTAAGAGCAATAGAATAGCACTTGACACCTAGGTTTATGCTCAATACATATTTGTTGAGTGAATTTCAGGAAAGCAGAATTTCCATAAAAGTTACCCCTTACCTTACCTCCCAGTGAAATCACTCGTAAAGTGCCTAGGACTCTTGAGGGAAAAAAAAAATCTGGTATTGACTCTCCACTTGGGATCCCCTGAGCCCCAGGGATCTCTGATTGCTGAGGATGTAGGGAGTAGATGAGGGAAAAAATGGTACAGCCCACCAGAGAGACAAGAAGCACTCCCTCAGATCTTTGGTAACCTTTCAAGTCCTGAAGGGTAGGGGAGAAGGTTGGCTACATGGATAAGGCCACTCAGTTTTTAAACTTCACAACACAAGAAGACATCATCCCCAGAGGACACTGCTAGAGGGCAGAATGGCTCAGGTGGCAGGTGGAGGGGTGGGATGGGAGGTAGATGAGATTGAGGAATGAAAGCCTGTTATCATCTGCCAAAGCATAGGACAGAAAAGCACACATAAGAGGAAGTTAGCACGATATGACCAGCCAGAAGCAGGAACTGAATCCCTCAAGGAGCTCCTAAAGTATAGTAATGGTGGCCGCTCAACACTGAGTGCCTCACCAAGCTAGCCAGACCATAGTGCATTTACAGTGAGCTAAATCGGCCACCTCAACAAAATATGTTCTAAAATGATCACCTCTAAAGACGAATGATTAATGAGCTGATGTCAACCTGGGGGAAGGTTATGAAAGCATGACGACCCCAAACCTGTTTATATTCCCTTACATAAAGCCCATATCTAGCAATGTAAGCAATGTAGGAAGGCATTTACTCAAGGCAGAGGCTTTAGAAGAGTAAAGAATTCATACTGGTAAAAAACTTATTGGTTTATCCTTTTAATATGTCTTTATGGTCTACAGCAATGTCTCTACTCTCATTCCTGATATCAGTAGTTTGTGTCTTCTTTTTTTCCTGATAATTCTGTTGAGGTTTATCAATTTTATTGATCTTTTCGAAGTACCAGCTTTTGGTTTCATTGATTGTTCTCTATTATTTATTTTTATTTTATTGCTCTCTGGTCTTTCTTATTTCTTTCTTACTGCCTCTTTTGGGTTTCATTTGCCCTTTTCTGCTTTCTTAAGGTGAAAGCTTAGATCATTCCCTTGAGATGTTTCTTCTTTTCTAATGAAAGAATTTAATGTTTTCTAAGCACTATTCATCTGTACGTCATCCATTTTGATATGTTGTGTTTCCATTTTCATTCAGCTCAAAATACTCTTCTAATTTCTCCTGCCATTTCTTCTTTATTCATGGGTTATTTGAAAACCTGTCATTTAAGTATCCCAATATTTGGAGATTCTCTGGATATTTTTCTTTGATTTCTGACTTAATTCTACTGTGGAATATACTTGCATACTCTGTATATTTTGCCTATTTTTCAATTTATTGAGACTTGTCTCGTTGCCTACAATGTGGTCATTCTTGGTGAGTTTTCCATGTGTACTCGAAAAGAATGTACAGTTTCTGCCATACTATCATTCTTCTACCAGTTGTTGAAAGATGTTGAAATCTCCAACTATAAAATGTGGAGTTGTTTTCTTTTCAATTTCATCAGTTTTTGATTCATATACTTTGAAGCTCTGCATAAACACTTAAAATTGTTATGACCATTTTAACATTATGAAATGCCTTTCTTTATCCCTGGTAGTATTCTTTGCTCTAAAATTGTCTTGTCTATTATTAATATAGGCTATTCCAACTTTCTTTTGATTAATGTTTACATGGTATATCTATTTTACCTTTTGTATTTTTAATTTATGTGTCTCTTAGTAGTTAAAGTAAGTTCAAGTAGATAGCATCTTCTTCTCTAGCCAATCTGAGTATCTCTGCCTATTCATTGAAGTATTTAGACTTTTTGTAATTAATGTAAATATCAATATAATTTGGCTTAAATTCATTATCTTTGTTTCCTTTTTCCCCTTTTCCTGGCTTCTTTATGATTGAGTGATATTTATTCCATTTTATCTCCACTATTGGGTATTAACTCTCTGTTATTATTTGCTTTTAGAGATAACTCTAAAGTTTACAATTTATTGGGACTCCTGTGGCTCAGTTTGGTTAAGCGTCTGCCTTCGGCTTAGGTCATGATCCCAGGGTCTTGGGATCGAGCCCCACATTGGGCTCCTTGCTCAGCAAGGAGCTTGCTTCTCCCTCTTCCTCTGCCTGCCATTCCCCCTGCTTGTGCTCTCTCTCGCACATGATCTCTCTCTCTCTCTCTGTTAAATAAATAAATAAAATCTTAAAAAAAAAAAAAAAGATATCAAGCCAGAAACTGGCTTAGGGTATTCAAGTGAAAGGATTCAGCTAAGTGGCAACCCAAATATAAACAAAAGAAACCAGCCTAAAACACATTAAGTATTTAGAACAGGCCCTTCATGATTGATAATTAAGGTGGATTAACCTTCATCCTGAATTATTGATATTAATGATCCACTGTGAGCAAAATGATCTCTAAAGTACTTTCTAATTGTGAAATATTATTCTGTCTTATCTATCAAACATAACTGATGGCTTATCACTACAAATTTTATAAGACATTGTGTCTTTTCCTACTAAAAGAAAATATTTCCACTATTGTCATCATCCAAAGGTGCCACCACTTTTATTTGTTTATCAGATCATAAGATGATACTGGCCCATTACCCTTGACCTAGTCAAACCTCTACAAAAGGCTTAATGATGCTATTTAGGATGCATTTCCTTGCTGCTTTTTGCAGGTGGCTTTCGCATTGTTGCATAGACAGTGATAGGAACATCAGTTATTGTCAGGCAATGACTTCCAGGGCATCTTCGGAGTTGCCTGAATAAAAGAGCAAATGACATGTGGTTTGATACTAAATAGGAAATTTTTTCAAAGGAGCAAAGTTTGCATATCAACTATTTTAAATCATTTTGAAAGCTTTGAATGTCACAATATAATTATAACACAGTGGCACTGATGAGCCAGACATTTTAGACTTATGTTGCAAAGAAATTGTGGTTGTTGCCATACATTTAGTCACAGGAAATTTATAAATATAAAAGAACCCGCTGGATGATCATTTTGAAAGGTATACAGTGATTGCTAAATGGCAAAAAAAAGGCGGGGGGTGGGGAAGTGCATAGTTGTAAACATAGTGGTAATACTATGGCAATTTATGCATATAGGCACCTTAAAATCACTTCAATTGAGTGATCTAAAGCCTAGAATATTTGTGGAAAAATATAAAACTGAACATGCTATTCCATACACTATTCAAATGTTGACTGAATTTCAGGTTTAAAAGAATCTTTAGGGGCACCTGGGTGGCTCAGACGTTAAGCGTCTGTCTTCGGCTCAGGTCATGGTTCCAGGGTCCTGGGATCAAGCCCCACATCGGGCTCCCTGCTCCGCGGGAAGCCTGCTTCTCTCTCTCCCACTCCCCCTGCCTGTGTTCCCTCTCTCACTGTGTCTCTCTCTGTCAAATAAATAAATAAAATCTTTAAAAAATAAAAGAATCTTTAAATGGCATCTAGTCCAAAAATACAACTAGTGCTTGAATTTCTCTTCCAACATTCCCACCAGATAATCACCTAACCTCAGACATTTCTAAAGACAAGTGCTTAGTACTTCCCAAAATAGTACTGCATCCTTGAATAACTCTGATTTTTAAAGTACCTGCCTTATTAAGCTCAAATCTGTGTTCTAAAAATTTCTAAGCCATGAGAAATCTAACAATGTAGTATTTGATGTTTTGCTATGGTAAGCAGCAGAAAAGTGGAACAACTCCTATTCTTCATAGTTTTCTTCAATTTGCAGAAAATGATTTTGTTTTATAAAATATTCATACTCTATATTACTATCTTTCTGTTAAAAGTCAAATCAAAGCCAAAGTGACACTAAATCTGAGGTTGGGGTCTTCTTCATATTTGTAGCCTTATGCCTAGCATATAGTAGCCCTAAAGGTTTGCTTGTTTAAATGAATGCTATCTTTCTTGTATCTATCAACAACAACATAACAACAATCTAGCTAAAAATTCACCAAAAAAAGAATTGGTCTATCACTGAGACTTAACAGAGGTACCAAAAACAGACTGGCTAAGAACCTGTAATGTGTTAATACTAATTTCATAAGCAATGTTTGTTAATATTAATTTAATGGTCCTGGACTTTTTTCTTGCTAATATTGAACACCAACTAAAGCTTATATTGATCATAGCCATTACACATTTCCTCAGTCATCAGGATGAGCAGACCTTACCTAGTTGGTGACATCTCTTTCCCATTACAGGCAGCACTGGAGCTCAGCCCCGATTCCAGCCCAACTGAAGAATCTCCTCCTTCCACTGGAAACCTCCTTGGCTGGGTCCCAAACTGAAAAGGCATAATTCACTGAAAACCTAGATCAGAAAGTTAAAATAATGGCATTGGGTTGAGTTGTCTTCTGAAAGTTCTTTGGAGTCTTTAATGTTATTATTTTGTCATAGATACATAGAAACATTCTATGTATCTACAGATATATAGAAACGACATTTCAAAGTATCTGTAGAAGTATATAAATGCTATATTACACAACTCCCCTTTACATACAATTTGAAGTCTAGCAACAAATATAAAACAGCCATTAGATGGTAGAAGTAAACTGTGCCCTATGGTTAACATTACTGAAGTCTATTTCTGCTATGTGAAAAAAACCCAGCTTGCTTGAAATGGGTGTTAACAATAAACAAGCTTGAGCTCCTACTTCCACTCCCCACTGCCTCTCTGTCCCTTCTCTTCCTTATAAGTAGAGCCGAGCCTCACATCCTCCATGATAGGTTCCATTAATCCTGTTCCTGATGATCATTCATCCCCCCGCCTCTGTACATTTACAGCACATTAGTTAAGAAAGTGGGAGAGTTGGATAGACTATGCAATCCTAAGCAAGGTACTTAACCAAGCATGTTTCTCAAGGATAAATCGGAAATAATAGTATCTCTTTCCAGGGTAATAGTGTGGATTAAATTAGGTAATACATGTAAAATGCAATGCCTAACACATAGTTAGTGCTCAATAAATGTTAACTATTAGTACCCAGTGGATGCTACTGGGCATTATTAAATATATGTACACAAACACACACATAACATAATGTATATGTCAGATATAAGTATGATACACAAACACACACACACTATATACTGCCTACTATTGCCTCTACTTGGAACTCTTCCCTACCCCACTGCTCCCCACTCCTTACTTGCTAGGACCAACTCATTCATTAAGTCTGAATTTATAGTTCACTTTCTCAGAGAAGCCGTCCATAACCACTCCATTATAGAAGTTTTCATAGCACTCTCTATTTTGGCTTTGTAACAGTTATCACTCTAATTCAGGATTCCTCAACTGTGACACCATGCACATCTGGGGCCAGATAGCTCTTTGCTGGGGAGAGAAGTTGGCCTGTGCTTTGTAGAATGTTTTGTAGCATCAAGGCGTCCACCCACTGCACACCAATAGCACCCCTCCCCCAAAGCTGTGACAATCAAAAATGTCTCCAGATATTGCCAATATGTTCCCTGGCGGAGAAGGGGAAGAAATCATCCCCTGTTGAGAACCAGCGCCCTAATTTTTTGTAAATGTTTTTACTTAATCATTGCCCCTCCCACCTTTCATGCCTATCCTTGTCACCACTCACTGAATCCTTAATACCTAGAACAGTGGCTGGCACACCGTAATTAATAACTTTTGTATAAATTTATATGTGTTCAACAAAAGACAGGAAAAATGAAATATGTCTTATAACTGTTTTTTTATGCCTAGAAGAGTATTCTATGCCTAATAAGTGTTTGTTGTGGTAATAATAAAACTAAATTATTAAAGTTTAGGAATTTGAATATTATATATAATGGTTTTTATAGACTGTGTTTCCTTTATCAAGGAAAAAAAGTGGTATGCTCAATGACAAGTTAGTAAAACTACAGTAAAATCTATGGTTTAGTATAACTATCTAATTTATGTAGATATTAAGTTCTGGCTAATTCGATCAAGGATACATAGACTTACCAAAATAGGCTGAGTCTGATTCCTGTAGAGGTGAATAAATCAACTGCTTCTACTGACCTTCCATAGAAGGCTGGAATTGCCAAAGGAATGATGATCAAATGTTCCAGTGACACCCAGAAATTATTACATCAGAAGATTCTTTCACATAGTTTCCTACCTGCTAAAGAATAAAATGTCACAATTCATAGCTCCAGCAGCAAGCTGAAACTCAGCAAAGAATTATCTCTGAAGTTTGCTTGACAGTCTTATTCTTGTCACTGCCTTATTCTCCAGTGATATGAAGTATTTTAATCTATGAATGAATTTACTTATATTCTACACCTACAGTCTAATCTGTACAAAATCATGAGATTCTTCTCATTTTATATCCCATTTTCTTCATTATCTTTATCTTCCAGTTTTTCCCTTAACTATTAATACAAACTAATCCAATCTAACTATGTCCTCATCCCACAACAAAGGCCTCAAACTGCACCTTTACAAATTTCTCTATGGCTCTTCCTACGTGGGATTCTTTACATCTTCTCCCTAATGCCTGGACTACCTCTTCTTTTCTATTTCCCCCAAGAACCTTGAAATTCCCAAGTGACAGAAATAAGGACAACTGAGAAAACAAGAATACATCTTGTACTGTCTTCTCTGTTCTGTTCCCTGGACCCTGAGGCTCTCCTCTGTTTGTACCATCTTTGCCAAAGGAATGATGATCAAATGTCCCAGTAACACCCCAAAATTATGACATCAGAATTCTCTCACATAGGGCTTTGGCTCAGGTCATGATCCCGGGGTCCTGGGATCGAGTCCCACATTGGGCTCCCTGCTCAGCGGGGAGTCTGCATCTCCCTCTGCCTCTGCCTGCCACTCCCCCTGCTTGTGTGCTCACTCTCTCTCTCTCTCAATCTCTCTCTGTCAAATAAATAAATAAAATCTTGAAAAAAAAAATAATTCTTGGGCGCCTGGGTGGCTCAGATGGTTGGGCGTCTGCCTTCGGCTCAGGTCATGATCCCAGGGTCCTGGGATCGAGTCCCACATCGGGCTCCCTGCTCCTTGGGAGCCTGCTTCTCCCTCTGCTTCTCTCTCTCTCTCTCTCTCTCTCCCCCTCTGTCTCTCATGAATGAATAAATAAAATCTTTAAAAAAATAAAAAAGGATTCTTTAAAAAAAAATAATAATTCTTTCACATAGGTTCCTATCTGCTAAAGAATAAAATGTCTCATAGTTCATAGCCCCAGCAACAAGATGAAACTTATCTTCAGAACTCTCTCCCCTGCCTTCCCTCTCCCAACTTCTGTAGCAATAGCTTACCTCACAGAATGTAATACTAAAGTATAACCCTTAAGCCAGAACATTTCTCTTCAGCTAATCTTTTTTTTCAATTCTCATAGTTGATGACAAACTATTAAATGACATTAAGCATTTTTTTTCATTTAATAAAAACCTTTTTTACTACCCACATTTTCTAAGTTCCCACTGTTCTGTTTTTATATGATTTACATTACAGGAAGTTGGCATTTTACATAATTTAGTTGATGGACAAAATCTTACCTCTACCTTCTTTTTCTTACTAGGGTGCTATGTGTGAATAGTTGATCACAATTTTAGCTTAGAGAAACCATTTAACTGACTGTGTCATAGTTAGACAAACTGAAATAATTGCTAGCCATTGTTAGCTAATGTATCATGAGGACCTAAACATTTGATCCTTAGGATGGCAAAAATTTTTAATAGTTTACATTTTCTAGTGGAGGTGCCTGTGGGAAAATGGTAGGTTTTGACATGAAAATTAGGTTTGAATTTTAACAGCATGTTAACTCTGAGACTTTGAGCAAATCACTAAAAGTCTACCTGAAAAAAAGGTATGAATTTCTATTATCATAGAGTTGTTTTGGGGAATAAAAAAAATCTAACATGTAATAAAGCCAATGTCTGAAATACAAAAATTCCACCAGCATACATTATTTTATCTTTGTGCATAATTCTTGAAATCAGAGTGTCGAAGCATTGATTTCACTTTTTAGTCATTGATATATTTTTAAACTACAAAGTGAAGTATCTGCATGTGAAATATTCATAAATTCCTCTAATTTATTATGATTTTTAACTAGGTATTTGGCACAAGTTGCACCAAGTTTCTTTTTTTGGTATGGGTGATACAACAAAACCAACCAAACAGTAGCCTTAATGATGAAACTTTCTAGCACTAGAGAAATAATACATCACAAAATGAACTTAACTCTCCAGCAGAACTTCACAGAGAAATGGATGAATATATGAAGTATAGATGTTGGGGGCGGGGGGTGTTGGAGATGGTGAAATCTCTAAATACTCTCTCAATCCTCATAAGCCTGAGAGTAATAATGATCTTTCAATCCTCAGAATATTGATTTATGAGATGTAGGAAAGGAGTAATGCTCAAACTTGTCATATCCTAAGACAATAAATCTGTTACCCATCTATTACCCATTTCAACAAATATTTGCTGAGAATCCACCATGAGCCAGACATATGTTAAGTGCTGAAGATAAAATATTGAGCAAAACAAACACAGTGTCTATCCTAGTAGAGTTTACAGGTAGGGTAGTATATGCCCTAGACTAGGATATCAAACCTAAGTCTAAAGAACGAGTAGACATCAACTAGGTGAAAATGGGTGGGAAGTAAAAACATTGACACAGTTGAGGATGGGGCAAACAGAGGAAACAGTATGTGCAAAGATCATGTGCCAGTAGAGAAGACAACAGAAAATATGAAAGGCCAGCATAACCATGGTAGAGAAAATAAAAAAATAAGGTCAGAGAAATAAGTAGAGGCTAAACCAAGCAGGAACATGAACCCAAGTTAAAGAATTTATGAGCAAGGGAGCTCACAAAAGAATTTTAATCCTTCAGGAAACTTACTAGGTTTCATTTATTTTTCTCTGTTAATTTTGTTTTTTATTTGATTTCTTCTCCAATCTTTAGCATTTGCTTTTTTTCTGTTTACTTTGGGCTTAATCTGTTTCTTTTTCTAGTATCTTAAAATGGAAGCCTAGACATTGATTTGAGACCTACCTTCTTGAAATAAGCATTTAATTCTATAAATTTCCATCAAAGCACTACTTGAGATTCATTCCACAAATTTTGAAATGTTGTATTTTCATTACCTTCAGTTAAAAATTTCCCTCTTGGTTTCTTCTTTGACCTATGAGTTATTTAGAACTGTGTTATTTTGTTTTCAAATACATGGAATTATTCTAGCTAGTTCTCTTTTACTGATTTCTTAGATTCCATTGCTGGCAGAGAACATTCTTTGTATGATTATAATTCTTTTATATTTATTGAGATTTGCTTATGGTCAGACTATGGACTATCTTGGTAAGTGTTCCACCTACTCTTGAAAAGAATATGTATTCTGCTGTCATTGAGTGAAGTGTTCTATCATTGAATTACTTGGTTGACAGAGTTCTTCAAGGCTTCTGCATTCTTACTGATTTCCTGTATTCTTCTTTATCAATTATTGAAATAAGGATGTTGAAATCTCCAAATATAATTATGAATTTTTCTGTCTCTCTATTCTGCCAGTTTTTGCTTCATATAATTTGAAGCTCTGATATTAGGTACATAAATATTTAGTAGTGTTATGTCCTCCTGATGAATTGACAACTTTATTATTAAAAACTATCCTTCTTTATCTCTAGTAATATTCTGTGCCCTGAAATCTACTTTGTCTGAAATTTATATAGATACTTTCTTTTCATTAATGTTAGTATAATGTATCTTTTCCTGTCTTTTTACTTTTAACTTATTTGGTCTTTATATTCAATGTGGTTTTCTTATAAACAGTATATAGTTGAGTCTTGCTTTTTCTTATCTACTCTGATTATCTGACTTTTAATTAACATGTTTCAATTATCTACATTTAATGTGATAGATATGACTGAATTTGTATGCCCTCTTCCTATTTGTATTCTATTTGTACTGTTCTTTTTTCCCTTTTTTCTTATTCTGTTCTTTTGAAACAACTGAGTATATTTCATGAATCTATTCTATCTTCATTATTGGCTTATTGCTTTACAACTTTATGTTTTCTTTTTGGTTACTTTAAAGTATAGAGTATACATTTTTAACTTTTGTGTTTGCCTTAAATAACATTATGCCACTTCACATACACTAAAAGAACCTTACGCTGAAACAAACTCACGCTAAAAGAACCATTTCCCCTCTCCCACCCTGTATTATTTTATCATACATTTTACTTCCACATATATTATAAACCCCACAACACATTATAAATTTCTCTTTAAGCAACTGTTTTTGAAGAAAATTTTAAAATTTTATACTTACCCACATATTTATATTTACCCACATATTTATCATTTTTTATATTTACCCACATAGTTACCATTTTCAGTGTTCTTGGTCCCCTTCAGTAAGTCCAGATTTCCCTTCAACATCATTTTCCTTTTATCCGAATGAAGATTTTCATTTAACAGTTCTAGTCTACTAGCAATCAATTCATTCTGGTTTTGTATGTTTTTACTTCATCTCCACTTTTTCATTTCCATTTTTGAACAATATTTTTGCTGAGTATAAAATCCTGTTAACAGTTTTGTTTTGCAGGGCTTTTTTTTTTAAGTACTTAAAGATTTTGCTCCAGTTTTCTGATTTGCATTGTTTCTAAGTCTGCTTTTAGTTTTAACTTTGTTCCTCTACATGTAGTGTGTCCTTTTTTCTTCTGGGTGCTTTTAATATTTTTCTTAGCCACTGGTATTAATTTGATTATAATGTGCTTGGTGTGGTTTTATTCCTGTTTCCTGTGTCTAAAGTTTCATTGAGTTTCTTGGGTCTGTGAGTTCATAGTATTTGTCACATGTGAAAACTTTTCAGACATGATCTCTTCAAGTATGTTTTTTCTTCCTCCTTCTGGAACTCCAATTACGGTACATAAAGCTGTTTGAAGTTGTCCCATAGCTCACTCATCCTCTTTTATTCTCTTTTCATTCTATTTTGGATAGTTTCTACTGTTTGCAATGTCTAATCTGCTCTTAATTCCATCCAGTGTACTTTTCATCTTAGACATTGCATTCTTTTTTATCTCTAGATGTCTGATTAGGGTCTTTTATATTTGTCTCTTCTTAATCTTTCCATGCTTCCTTCTGCCTTCTTGAACATATGAAGTATATTTATGTTATTTTAATGTCCTCGTCTACCAATTCCTTGATTTGTGCCATTTCTTGGTTTGCTTTTACTGATTCTTTTTAACCACATATGGAGTGTTTGCTACATCTTCACCTATCTTGCAATTTTTCATCGAATGGCAGAATTTTAGGTTGTTGAATGCTGGATTTTATTTTTAGTCCTCCAAGCACTTTCAAGTTTTAATCTGGGACACAGTTACTTGGAAATAGCTTGGCCCTTTGGAGGCTTGATTTTACGCTCTCCTAGGCTAGATCAGAACAGCCATTCATCTATGGCTAATTTCTATCCACTACTAAGGCAATATCCTTACTGTACTCAACACCCCCAGACATTACAGGGCTCTTCCACTAAAGATACTGGGAATGTAAACTAGTCCCAGCCTTGTGTGAACCCCCAAAATTGTTCTGCCTGCTTCTTCCCAGTGGTTCATTCCTCAGTCTTGAGTAGTTTCCCCGCATGCATATACTGATCAGTACTCAGTTTAAGGCTCAGAGAAATTCCCTGAAGATCTCCAGAGCTTTCTCTATATACTCACTCCTGGCATTGTGCTCTGAAAATTATAGCTGCCTTAGTCCCACAGAATTTTCAGTTCTGTCTCCCCAACCAGGATGGCTGCTGGGTTGTGTTTGAGCTCTGTTCATCAGAAAGAAGTTACTAATGTCAATGCTACCTAGAGCAATCTACACATTCAATGCAATCCCTATCAAAATACTATCAACTTTTTTCAAAGAAATGAAACAAATAATCCTAAAATTTGTATGGAACCAGAAAAGAACCTGAATAGCCAGAGGAATGTTGAAAAAGAAAAGCAAAGCTGGTGGCATCATCACCAATTCCAGACTTCAAGCTCTATTCCAAAGTTGTCTGGAACCAGAAAAGAACCCGAATAGCCAGAGGAATGTTGAAAAAGAAAAGCAGAGCTGGTGGCATCATCACCAATTCCGGACTTCAAGCTCTATTACAAAGTTGTCATCATCAAGACAGTATGGTACTGGCATAAAAACAGACACATAGATCAATGGAACAGAATAGAGAGCCCAGAAATGGACCCTCAACTCTATGGTCAACT